ATTTTTCGTCGTGGCGTTGTATGTAGAAAAATCATTGCTGACATACGCGTTGTCATGATACGCGTGTCTATGTTGTTGATCGAGACCTGGTCTAGTTCGCTGACTGTCTTTCGCCGACTGTCCTTTACTGTGTCGTTTCTGATCAGGTCGCCGGCTGACGAGCCGTTTTTATCACTATTTGACAGCTGATACTCGGCTGGCGAATCCGAGCTTTGCGCAGGAATGTATAAGGTAATCCTATTTCCAGGTCATTTGGAGTTCAACCACGCAAATGTCACAGAAAGCACATCACGTGACTTGTCATATCCAATCAGGTTGCAGAAATCAATTATTTAATTTGGAGCGGTGTTTGTACAGAATTGTGAAAAAAAGTTTTTTTTTTGTATCTGCATGATTTTAGTAATATTTATTTGTAGGCGTCTCTTACTTGTCTGTGCTTCACTTATATGGCACGTGGCCGAATGGTTAGAACATTCGCATTCTGACCACAGGATCTGGGTTCGAATCTCACCATGGTCGATTTGTCAGGAAAGAGACCTTCTGATATCGAACTGGAAGAGTCGATTCCAGCATGCGGCACATTTGAGTGAAAAAATATACCAAGGATTGATCCAAGCCTTGTGAGTGAAATTGGGTAGACGGAAATCTTGGCACGAAGTCACAAGTCATCGTGGCTGAGGGATTGAGCGTGCTGGCCTTGTTCAAATTGTTGATCACGTTAGATAACACGCTCTTTCCCAGAAAATGTAACAAAGGTCTGCTCAGCATAGTTTCAGTACAAACCACAGGTGGACTCTGTGGGTGTTGAATAAGCTAAAAACAAATGCGTCTACAATAGGGTCTGTCTAGCCGCCCTAGTAGACGGCTATCCTTGAATACGAGTGGCCATAGGGGTTAAAAGAATTATTGAAAAAAAATGATTATTTTTGGTCGTAGTGTCTATTGTACAGCGCCAGCTATTTAAATGTATATTATTTAAAATGGTAATAAAATAATATTTTATTAAGTAAATCTTTCGTAATGACAATTCAGAATATTCCAGCCATCGTTACGAAGAAAATATGCCAGCCTTGTGGCCCTACCGTTGAGTAACACAAGTTGTGAAGGCGTTTAGTAGTGAAATTGAAATAATTAATTTTTCTCTATTTTTACGCAAGATATTTTTCTACGACTTTTTCTTTGCTTCCCGTGACCTTTTCTATAACTTTTTTCCCAACTCCAATTACTGCTTCAGTCATGAATCAGGTCATCTTTATTATCTTGTGTTCCGTGGAGAGAGAGAGAAGAAAAAAAAAGCCATTGGATCGACGTTTTCCCCCTTCTTTTTATAATGCCATTTAATGAACTTCATCTTAAAATAACCATTCGTCGGTTTCATACACTGACTGACAGTAACGTAGGTTTCTTCAATAAATACCCTTTTTTAAAGGGTGGGAGAGGGGGCTTTTCTTTAATTGTTTTTTTAAGAGAAGTACAACTTAGACGGCCGTCCCACTGACTTAGGAAAACAAATAAATAAGTAAAAACGGAGACATTTGTTCATTTTGGTTTTATACTCTGACTCTATTCAACTCGATCACTTGATTCAAGCCGTGTGTCGCAAATCGTGCCAAGTTTGCTTTATCGGTCACTTACCATTGACCTATAATTGTTGTTGGCTGACCGCTGACATTTAAGTGTCACCAAAAGGCCGGGCGGGACAATGATGACAGTCCAGGCAGAGGTACAACAATAGAGAGTGAGAACTGAATTTGGCAAGCTTGCGTTCTTTCACTTCTCGCTCTTCCGTGAAGCTAAGGTGACGGTAATCTGACATAAGGCTGCATACGTCCTATGTGTTGTATTATTATTATTATTATTATTATTATTATTATACTGTTTATTCTCATTATTATTATTATACTGTTTATTCTCATTATTATTATTATACTGTTTATTCTCATCATTTATTATTATTATTATTATTTATTCTCATTATTATTATTATTATACTGTTTATTATTATTATACTGTTTATTCTTATTATTATTATTATTATTATTATTATACTGTTTATTCTCATTATTATTATTATTATACTGTTTATTATTATTATACTGTTTATTCTCATTATTATTATTATTATTATTATTATACTGTTTATTCTCATTATTATTATTATTATACTGTTTATTATTATTATACTGTTTATTCTCATTATTATTATTATTATTATTATTAATCTTCTTCTTATTATTCTCTTTAAGTTTTTATTCTGATTCTTCTTCTTTTTCTCATTCTTAATCTTATTCTCATTCTCTCTTCTTATTATTCTCATTATTCTTCTTCTTCTTCTTCTTTTTATTCTCATTCTCTCTTCTTCTTATTCTCATATTTCTTATTCTCATTCTTATTCTTATTCTTCTGATATTGTTGCTGTCCCATCAGGACGTGGACAATCATTTCTGTCTATGACTTCCTATCCTTTGTAGCTCTTTTATTCCTTTATTATCTCTCTCAAATCCCAGTTGTACCATCCATTTACATGTTTTGTCATCTTTAGGCAGGTATATTTACCCATTCTCCCCACTATGACAGCATATAACACAAGGTTGTTTTAATGTGGAGAGCACCATACACATACATTTATATGGGCCAAGGACAAAATGTTTTGCCCAGTCCCTGTGACTACTGTCACAATGGCATCAATAATTACACCAACTCAACTTTTACAAAATGTTTACGTTGTAAAGGTGTATTGAGAAAGAACAAGGGTTGCATGTTATGAGGATATGTAGGATAGATAATTGTTGACCCTTGACTTGAAGAGGTTAAGATTGTAGTGTTCAGGGAAGCGTCTACTCGGGAGTCAGTTCCACATGGCAACAGGTATGGGGAAAAAGCTGAGTGGAACTTCCTCCTTACCAATGGAATATGAAGGGGATCAAGGTGATTCAACTCCGTGGCGTGGCAGTCCACATCTGTGAATGTTTGGATTAGTAGAAAATAGCAATAGAGTAGCAAGAGGCTAGGTACAATTCGTCTGTGGGAAAGGGGTTGAATGGTGGAAAACAATTCATCACCCACAAGGCTGTACTGATACTTCTGAATTCAGTTGGGATTAGAAAGTGAGGATTGGGTATCTCCAGCCCTGCTATGGCAGCAATACTCCATTTTTTGTCTGATCTGACTCTTGTAAAACTAGAGCATAGCAAGTTAGGCACTTTCTGGAGCAGTACAAGAAACCAACCATTTTTCCAGCCACTTTAGTGATGTGTTGTATATACAAGTTCCACTTGAGGTTTGGAATGAACTTGAGTCCCAATAGATGTTCAAACACCAATTACTCAAGTCCTCTCCACAAGGTAGGATGTGGTACAAGGCCAATTTTTAATGTGAGGCTTTCCAAGCGTGTGAAAATTCCTTGTAGACCCCACATACAGGGGGTCAAGTGGCTGTCTACTTTCCCAGATGAGATTCTGCCTATAGGCATAGCCTTGTCTGAGTTTCTCTCCACCTGAAGGCAAGAGTCCAACAAGCTAAGAGCTTTGATGAACTCACTAGTCCTAACACATTGTAACGAACCACCCTCATTCCCTTCATATCCCCACCCGGTGAGATGTAAGTTCCACTCAAGCACTCAAGCAGCTTCTTCCCATAAACCACTGCCATGTGGAACCAATTCCCAAGAGGCTACTTCTTCCACCACAACAATCTTAACCAGGATCAAGTCTAGGGTTAACCATTATCTACTGCATATATCTGCATAAGCTCTACCTCTTACTTTGTAACATTCTGTCTTGAGCCCCAGTGCCTATTACTGGGTGAACACTACTGACCCCCTTCTTCCCCCTGCAAAAAAAAAAATGCAACTTTATTGAGAGTAGAACTGTTCATCATACTAGGAAAAGATTTAAGGTCTCCTCAGGGATGATGATATATTACTCAATTCATTTATGTATTCAATGTTACAAGCCAGCTCTCTCCCAATTGAGCTATTAGAACTTGGTCAGAGGAGAGATCAGCTGCCAGCCCCAGGTCATCTCCATATTTTGGAGGTGTGCCCATAAACTGTAGTATCCTCTGCATCAATAATGATCTTAGCGTGGGTATTATTTTTAAACTTTTAACCAGCAGCAAGGGTTTCAATTGAGAGGTTTTGAAGAGCATGGAACCACCTCTTAATTGCAATTGTTCCCAGATCCACCCTGATCTTTGTTAGTAGCACCTGTTAGGGTCCCAACTATGGGCAAATAGTTAACCCCCAAATTGGGGTCCAAACAATATGAAAGTATAAAAATAAATTTTTATAGTAAAAATACCATCGATTCTTTTTTGGAAAATAAAAATTTTATCATCAATACATTTGACTTTAAACCAAAACCCTCTTTACACAAATACATCAATGAAACCTGATGTACAAACTGATTTCTTACAAAGAATACATATTCTATTCATACGAACATATCCTAAAAATCTTGACATTAAATAACCCATTGAGGTGTTGATATGCCTTAAAACAAAATAAACCAAATGAAACCCAATCAGTAATGATCTATGAATATTCTAAGGTGGATTGTTAATATAAATTCTAAAGAGAGTAGACACTGAGGAGAGAGCCTTCTGGTATGATTGCATTGAAATCATGGGTTTCCAAAGACTGGACATTAACAATGACTTTTATGTATCTACCTGACAAGTTGATAACTGATAATTGGAGATTTTGATTGTAGAACTCAATTTGGCCAGAAGTTTCTCTCTTATGGCATTGGTCAGATACAAATACATTGAGAGAAAACAAATGGTGTCGAGTCTATGCTGAGAATAGTTTCTTGAAGTTTTGCTACAGGATATCTTTTATACTAATATGGATCAATAAGAGAGAATTTTGCAATTACAAGGTCCAGTTGAATCTTGGAGGAAATCAGGGTGCTGTGAAATGAGGGCAGAGTTTACGGATTTAAAAAATGCCGGGGGGAGAGATTATAAACTGTGGATGATTTTTGAAAGCATAAAAGTTTTCAAGGAGAGAAAGAGAAGATGACGACACATGCAGAAAAAAAAAAATAAAGTGAAAAAAGATTAAAAAAGAAATAAGGCAAAGAGGAAAAAACAATCAGAGGGAGTTGGTGGGGGGATATGAAAAAGAATAGACAAGTAAGAAAAAAACAGAAAAAGAAGATTAAAGTAGAAGAAAAAAAGAAAGCAGAAAAGAATTCAAAAAACAATAAAGAGGAAGAACAAATAAGAGGGAGTAGGAGGATATGAAAAAAAAATAAAGATGAGGTAAAGAAAAACAGAAAAGATGAAAGAAGTGAAAAAAGGATTAAAAAATGGAATAAAAGACAAAGAAGAAGAAAGAATACAAAGGAGTTGGGGAAGAATAAACATATAGAAGAGAAAAAACAAAAATGAAGGAAGAAAGAATAAGAGTGAGTAGGAGGATAGGAAAGTGAATAATGAAGAGAAAGAAAAAAACAGATGAAAGTAGAAGAAAAAAAGAAACAAAAAATAATGAAGAGAAAGAAAGGATAAGAGGGAGTAGGAGGATAGGAAAGCAGATAAACATGAAGAAGAGAAAAAGAAAGAGTAGAGATAAAACAAAAGGAGGAGGAGGAGGAGGGAGAAAAAGAAGAAAGAGAAACTGAAAACAAAAACCAAATAATGTTGGATATTTGAATGAGGATGACTCTTAACTCCTACTCTCAAACCCTAACAATTTTGTTCAACCCGAGAGCCAAGGTATATAAATGATCAAAAATCGAATGATATCAGGAGATTTCGATTGTAGAGGTCAATGTGAAGTGTTAAGCAGAAATGGCTGTGAGTCCAAGTGGCAAGAAGCTTCTCTCTTACAGCATTGGTCAGCTACAAAGAAACCAAAAAGATAAAAGAAAAAAAGAAATTGAAGAGATAGAAAGAATAAGAAGACATGAAAGAGGATAAAGAGAAAAAAAAAATCAAAGAGAGAAAGAACAAAGATAAAGCAAAAGGAAGAAAAAGAAGCAAAGAAAAAAAATGAAAAGAGAAAGAATAAAATGTAAAAAGGAAAATTTTGCATTGTTAAATGAAGATGACTCTCACTACTGGACATTGTGATGCAACCTCTGAGCATATCTTTGGCTGTGAGCTAGGGTATATAAATTGCTGGCAGTTGAGAGTTTATCAGTAGAGTAGAGGAGTACTCAAATTGTACAGTTTGGTTGGAGTAGATTTTATTACATTATTGATTGGATGCAAATACAGAAAATTTTACAAACTGATCTCCCAGGAACATCATCAATATCAGGTGGGTGGAAGATGTCTCCAACGACCAACTGTGGAACAAGACCAGACAAGCCCCAATTGAGATTGACATCAAGAAATGGGGATGGATTGGCCACAGACTCCACAAGCCTGCTTCTAGTGTCACCGGGCAGGCCCTTGACTGGAATCCACAAGGGAAGTCATTTCTAATGACCAACTGTGAGACAGAACCAGACAAGCCCCAATTGAGATTGACATCAAGAAATGGAAATGGGGATGTATCGGCCACACATTATACAAGCCTGCTTCTAGTGACTCCAGGCAGGCCCTTGACTGGAATCCACAAGGGAAGTCATCTCCAATGACCAACTGTGAGACAGAACCAGACAAGCCCCAATCGAGATTGACATCAAGAAATGGAAATGGGGATGTATCGGCCACACATTACACAAGCCTGCTTCTAGTGTCACCGGGCAGGCCCTTGACTGGAATCCACAAGGGAAGTCATTTCCAATGACCAACTGTGAGACAGAACCAGACAAGCCCCAATTGAGATTGACATCAAGAAATGGAAACCAGGCAGGCCCTTGACGGAAACCCACAAGAGAAGTAAAAAGTGGGTCGACCAAGACAGACTTGGCACAGAAGTGTTGATGCAGAGGTAAAGACAGCTGAAGATGGGCTGGCACCACATCCTTTCGGGAGGTGTTGTTGTGGCCTTATGCTCCCCAAGAGGCATAGAAGAAATGTGGCATGCAGTCAATCTAGAAATATTTTCTGGTATATATATATTCCTCAAGGACACATGGCACAGTGGATAAAGGCGTTGGTTAGATCCAGTGACAGGACCCAAAGAGTGGGAGTTCAATACCCAGTTAAGGCAGGGAAGAACTTTCAGAGAGAAATTAACAGGAGATAACTGATATCCATTAAACATGGCACGTGGAACAGTCTACCCCAGTGAGCGAAATAAAGGGTTAACTTTGGCATTCCAATCACCTGAAGAAGGCCGGAGCGTACAACGGCCGAAACTTTGTAATAAATATGGTGACAAAGATGAAGACAATAGTCCGAATAATGTACATAATGTTGATAAGCTGTGGAAAATGAATCATTCAATCTTATATACCAGTCAATGCTGAACATATAAATAGGTTATGTGAGGCAACAAGAAGGTGGTTCTACAGACAGTTGATGAGGATACCATAAGTGAAACATGTTATTTCTATTGATGTGGTTTACATATTATTGTATATATTACTATATAAAATATATTGTAGAACAGGTATATTGACCTTGACTTGTATAAAACGTATGCTGTTGGCTCACTGAATGATTTTAAAACCCTAAGTTGGCACATAGTTAGCAAAAGGTTGCCGACCCCTGATCTATGACAAATTATCTCTTGTAAAGATTATTCAAATAGATAAATTTTTTCTATAAGCAACTTAGGATTTTGTCCAGTACTCGAATTGCTTAATTTTATCTTACCTTTCTCTTTCTCTCTCACATTCACTCCATTTCTCTCACCCACCCTTTGCTTATCCCCTTCTTTTCTTTCTCTCCATCTCACACTTTCTCTCTTGCTTTATTCCCTTCCTTTCTCTTTCTCTCCATCTTTCTTTCACTTTCCCCTTCTTGCTTCTTTGCTGATGCAGGTTGATCAAAAATTCGATAACTGAAAATGCTGTTCCATATAAAAATTTTAATAGTAAGTGTATCAGAGATGTTACTTCCTGCAATACAGTCAGTTATATGCCATGCATGATACATGCTTAGGCAATCATGTATCTTTTGATACATGACTGACGAGGCAGATTTTTTCTTGCAATAGTTTGCCATTTCTTTCTGCAGTAGGCCAGTTGCCATCCAAGGCTATAGAACCTGGTCTGTACTGCTATTTACCCCTGGCTGATGGGAGAAGAAGAGGATACATACCTTTCCCAAGGGTATTAACACATAATGGATTCAACTGGAATTTGAACTCGGCTCTCTGATTCCTCAATCTGAGCTACTATCCATTACTCCACCGTGCCTCATTCAATAAAATGGGTCTTAACTATGGAGGTATTTGCCATCTGGGAGGAATTCTGGTGTGGCATGGGAAAATTGGAAAAGAGAGTGGCAGATTCATTGTTGGAATACTGATCTTTTGATAAAACTCAAATCTACAATTCTTTTTTTGATCCAAATAATCTTAAAAATGAAGAGTGACATTATGAAATATGGCAAAATAAAAAAAAAATGGTCAAGAACCAATTTGGGGCCCTACTGAAATTAACTGGTTTGCTTACGGAAAAACAGAATAATTTTTTTTTTTTTTAGTAAATTTGTAGATTAGCATTCATTAGTGCTTCTTCAAGTGGAGGCATTTGTCAGAATGCAAAAATATTGATTTTTATCATTTTTGAAGTGAGGTCATGTTCCTAATTTAAATACAGGATCAAATCAATCACTGACTTCTTAAAAAGTTATCTGTAATCTGTTTTTATTTACAAATCTTAAGTTTGAAACCATTACATCATAGATAACTGCGTATTACAGGTGTTTACCTTTTTCCCAATTCTGATGTAATTGTTTTGTTTTTTACAGCTTATCAACGTTTTGCAGGTATTTAAAGCCAGAAAATATTTTTAGATTATAAGAATTTTTGGAGATAATAATGATTTACTGATACAAGTCCTACTAATTAACCCATAGCTGGGGGGAAAGAGTGAGATTCATACCATTCCCAAAGGCATTTGCATGTAAATGGATATAACGAACACGACTGGAATTGGAACTCAGCTCTCCAATTTCAAATACCAAGCCATTATCCATTACATCACCCTCATATCCAAGCTTACAACACCTGAGTGGTCACCCATCTAGGTACTGATGAGGCTTGACATTGCTTAACTTTCATATTCAGATGAGAACTGGTATTTCAATGGGATATAGCCATAAGCTTCAATGATGTGAGCATAGTTTTAAACTTGATATTTGCAAATAAAAAAATTTACAAATACCTGTTTATGAAGTCAGGGATCGATTTGGCACTGTATGTATATTATAAACTGGACCCTCATTCTAAAATGATAAAAATTCAATATTTTTTTTGCTGACAATCATTGTGGGAGGAGGAAGCTCAAATGAATGCTAATCTAGAAACATTATTGCCCCAAATTGTTTTTCCCTGTTTTTTTTATGAGTGCACGAATTAATTTAAGTCATGTCATAGTTAGGATTTTTGTTTTTTAGTTTTTTTTTCAATTATTTCACCCCAAGCAAGGCAATAAAGCCATTGACACAGAGGAGGTTACTGAGTGTGAAAGAATATGAGAAAAAATATTTTTGAAGAGCAAGAACAATAAAAAAACAAATTAAAAAGATAAAAGATAACAAATGACATTGCATTTAAATTTTTGAAGGTCAAACTTGACTGGAAAGCAAGAAAAGTGTTTCACAAACAAAAAGTTAGAAAAGAAACTATTAGGTTGGTGCATAATTATCAGGCGTTGTTGTAGGCGAGTTATTTGTTATTAAAAATTGCTGTTTTGTTAACTTTTTTTAATAAAAATATTATTATATTTTCAGGTTATAATAATGTGTGCTGATAATCATATACTCTGGAATAATCACTTAAAAATGTTATTGTTGAATTGTTATGTTTCTTTTTTCATAATAAATGTTGTTTAAAAAACGCCTGATAATTATGCACCAACCTAATATTAGCATAGAATTTACAGTAACATCTCATCATTTTAACTGTAAAATGATGAGATCTTGCTGCCAATCTAATACAAAGCTTAAATTCATAAAGTCTAGGTACCAAAGTGGAAAGCTCATCAGAACAATTACCATGAAAATATTTATAGAAAAGATACAGGGAAGTTGTGTTGTGGGAGTGAGAAAGTGACTGAATTCAGGATCAATAAAATTTGTAATAAATATCAAGAAAAAGAAAAGAACAGGGCAGAATCTAATATAAAGCAAGCAACCAATACATGCAAGACAAATTAATAGTAATAGGGAAAACAACATTAACCCATTAACTGCCAAATTTTTTTAATGTGCATTTTTGGCCCAGACAAGTGTCTTAGGAGTTTATTTATTCCTTATGTTTGATTTTGGTAGTTACCATTGTCATTTTTATAGAAACTAGAACATCAAATATATATGTGTATAAAACATCAAAAAATAATATTGATTAGAAATAATAACAAAAAATACTTTTCAAAATAGTCATCATTTTTCTACTCGTGAAATGTAAAATTATGACAGAAAGTGTCTTCTTATGGCTAATAATAAAAACTTTAAAGGCTAAGTGTTGTAAAATATACTTCTGCAAATGCAATGTATGTAAGTAATTCAATGTAAATACAAGGAATAACAATAACAAGGAATAGTGAGTTTAATTTTAACAGATCCCCAAATGGGGCTCATGGCAAGTAATGGGTTAATATGCCAAAAAGTTCACAAATTACACAAATTAAAAGTTGGAGTTGATGCACAAGAGAAAATTAGATAAACGAACATAGTCTCCTCACTTCAAGGCATGACAAATGGGGACTGAGTTTAGTCAAAAGGATGTTGGAGGGCAAAACTATGAATTTTGTGTTATTTTTGAGAGTATCTGATTTTTTTTTTTGGGTTGTACGGATTTTGCAAGCTCGTTTTTTTAGCGTTAACGATGAAATTTTATCATTTATTATCTTGTTGGATTCCTATCCATATTTGATCTACATCTGATCCTCAACTTTCAACACATTTAAATCATTTCTCCTCAAGCAAAGCAATAATGCCACTAAGACAGATTGCCTAGTGTGAAAGAATATGAGAAAAAGAAAACATTATTATGGAAAGAAAACACTAAAAGAATAGGAATTA